CTGCCTCTTCTGCCTGAGGCCTGCCCTTTTCCAGGCCTGGCAAAGTCTGTCCTCAGCCCTACAAGGGAATAATTGCTTCCTTCCTAGTGGGTAGAGCACACTGCATCTCTCCCATGTGCGAGAAGCAGCACTAAGCGGGTTTGGGCTTCTCTGACGCAGAGTCTCACCTGTGCCTCTCCTAAGATTATGCATGTTGGCACTACCCCCAAACAGGGCTGTGGATTAAAAGCCACCGTATATTCCATAGAGTCAGTATCACATTCTCCAAACAGTCTCCTTAGTTGCAGTGAAGCTACTTGGGGGTTAAGTGCTGCAGAATCCAGCCTTCAGGAGACAGTTGGGAGTACTACATGAGGAGTATGTTGTGCAGTGGCACTAAGAGCCACAAGGCTGGGCCCTTCTTGAGGTTGCTTATAAACTAAAAGGATTTGTGTATGAAAAATTACATTATTCTTTGCATGTTTTTGCAGTTTCTGATCAACTGCACCTTGTGTTCCTTCTCCACAGCCCACCAACTTCAGGTTTTCAGATCCCACCCGTCGCCTCTCCTCTATGTAGAAATTTGTGTTTCACACCCTCCTCACCAGGGATTTTAAGGTTGCCCTGCTTCCTAATTGGCATTGTGATCTCACAAGCGAGCCAGGCTCCCCACAACATCAACCTGAGGCTCTGGTAGATGTTAGTCCTTCAAACCCCACAGTGGTGTTTTCCTTTTTGTTTACAAGTTCATCCATCTTTGCTTCAGAACAAGGGCTGGGCAGACCAGTCATTACTTCACACAGCTTGGGTCTCTGCTCTTCTTCTTTGTTAATCATCAGACAGTGACCCTTTCCTGAGGGTGTAGCATCAAATGGTTAGTTTTTGGAAGTAACCTTTCCCTATGAATTTCCCAGGAAATCCATTTAAAACTTACTGTCCCAAAACTCCATATTGGTTTGGCACATTCTCAGTACTGTGAAAACAGAAGTTACATACAATCTGAGCCCACAATAATACATACATAGAATATAATAAGGCATTTCAAGGATATGGCAGGAAATTGAGCTGTTACTCATGTTTGTTGGCCTTAGCAACATGCTTTACTAAAATCCCTGTGTCAACTAATGATGTGGGGAGTATGTGTTCGCCTCACAGGCCTGCACTTCAAAGACTGCACTTAATTACCACAAATCTAGTAAAGGGGCTCTAAAGCTGGGGCATTCGGCTAGCAAACGAAAGCTGTGAACCACTGCTGTGCTGAGCTTGTTTGGTAAGAACACAATTGTTATTCATTAAGCGGAAGAAAGCAATGGAAGTAAAGGAGAGGAAAACAGGACATCTGAAACCACCTGCTTTATTTTAGCAGTAATTGAAATACATGTTTATGATGTGGTCGATGCACAGATCAGATTCACACACACTGCAGCTTAGCTCCAGCTGGAGCAAGAGCTTTAGAAAAAACCTAACACCTCCCATTTGATTGCTGGTTATAGCAGGCCCTTTAAAATCTGTTTGTTTCCTTCCAGAAACAAAATGAAACGGCAGTGAGGCTGTGTAGTAGACAGATGCTTCAGTCATTAGCTATGTTTCTCTGACTACAGCATGCTGTCTTAGTGTGAGTGCATTTATCTCTTTTGTTCCTGGTTTGAGCCATTCAGGACTTTCCCCCTCACTTTGATCTTGCTGACTGTGAGGGAAATATCAGATCCAAATCTTAGTGGATTTAACCAAAACATCATGCAGGGTGGTGGTAATTTGGAGCTGGAGGCTAGTAGCATGGCTGCTGTCCTTTTAGGTATCCCTTTGTGTAAAATGGTGGTAGTTTTCAGAGCACTGAGATTACTCAGGCTGTGTCTGCACAGCAGCATTATTTCAGAATAACATGGCCCGCATCTGCACAGCAAGGAGTCTTACTCCAACTCCTGTAACCCTCCTTTTATGGGGAGTAAGGGAAGTTGGAGGAAAAGTGCTCTAACTCGGACTTCCTGCTGTGTAGACAGCTCCAAAAGCCAGAATAAGCTCTTTCGACTTAAACTACGCAATTGACGTAGCTCAAGTTGTGTAGCTTATTTTGGCTTTAGCCCTGCTGTGTAGATGTACCCTTAGTCAAATAATAGGCATCTACAACTTCAGTAGTCAATTGAAAGGGGCCTGACATGTTCCTGTTTAGTATGTAAGGTAAGGCACGTTTATTCCTAATAGTCTCACATGTGCAGTCTGCACAGAGTCTTATAAAACAGAGAAAAATAACAGCAAACCTTCTGTGTTACTAAGGGTCGAGTTCTGTTTCCCCTAAACTCATGGGAGGTTTTGCCTTTGAGTTCAATAGTAACAGGATGGGGTCCTGATGGCACTAAGGACATGCCTATACTGTGATAAAAGACCCATGGAATGACCACAGCTGAGGTGGGTCACAGGGTTCCTGCTGTCTGACTAGAAAATTTCAGTGTAGATGTTCAGGTTTGGTCCAGAGCCTGGGCTTTGAGACCTTCCCCCTTGCATGGCTCCAACCCAAGCTTAAACATCTACCCTGCAATTTTGGAGCCCTGAAACCTCATACCTGCAAATCCATCCAGGCTCTGAAACTTGGTGCCATGTGTGTTTTATTGTAGTGTAGACGTAGCTTTAAAGGCTGATTCTACCCCCATGCAGTATCGTTGCAGGAGGAGTAATGGTAGTTCGAATTAGGAGCTTTAATTCGAACTACCTAGCCCATGCCGTGTGTAGCCACAGGCAGGGAGTCCTAACTACTGAGCATTTAAAAATGGTGGTCCTGGGAACATGCAAATAAAGCCTGGAATATTTTAATCCCAGGCTTCATTTGCAAGTTCGAATGACTACATTAGCCACCCTAGTTCGAACTAGGGTGGCAGTGTAGACATACCCTGAGAGACGTAACTCTGTAGAGTTTAGATCGCAGCCCTGTCAGAGAAGGTACGAAGCGTCTGGTAACAACACTTCGCAACACAATGGGAGGTTAGAGTGTGATGCAGTGGGAACTCTAAAAGTCCATCCTGGGGCTGTGCAGTGCAGATTTATGTTATAAACTTTCAGAAAGGTTGTGGTGTTCAGTGAAAAGCTTGTTGATGACTTCCTAGGATGACACAAAGGCAGTGGGGTGGACAGTCAATGGATGGAGGGACTGAGGAATAGAGAACAGGTGACAGTAAGACAAAGAACTTCACACCTCCCTGTGCCATACCTCTTCGGTGCTGCTCACAGCAAGCAACAGAGGCTGCCAGGGAATGTGACAAGTGCTTTGACTGCACTGCAAACAATGCTCAGGAGAGGGCCCTTACTCCTTCACAGTCCAGAATATCATCTCATATAACACCCCAGCCCAGAGTCCCAGGGTCACGTGAATTTCCTTCCTTTGGACTCTGTGTAAGAAATGTTCCTTCTGATCAGCAGTCCACACTAAGCATCTCTTCATTCCCCTGTATTACTGACGATTTTCAGTTGTTGGTTTTATTCTGAGAGACTAAACACTCCACAGGTACTGAATTCTGTACACCGCATCCATCTCCAATGCAGTCCCTGGCTGAACTTCAGATTCCATTTGGAGGTGTGGCTTGTAGAGACTGCCACTGCAATCCTTTTAGCAGTGTTGTCTGGCCCATTCTGAACCTAATTTCTCTCCCATTCATACTGAAGATGAAGATGACTGCAGTATGACCCAGGCCTGCAAATTGGGTTCATCCCCCAGATTCCTACTAAATTGTCATTGTAGACCTTGTTAGTGTGAAGTTTTAGATGCTTCCAGCTTTAAGTAGCATAATATTGGTTGCTATCTGAAAGCCATGGAAACCCTTGCTACTAATGTGCATTTGTAAGTGAGTGGCAGGGTCTGAATGTTTCCTTTTCCATTATTTTCCTGCAGCTATTCTGGTACCTGTATTTAAAATAGGAATTAACTGGGAAATAATCTGACTGGCAGGCCCTCATTTCACACAATGAATTTCAGTGAAACTAGGGCTCAGGTAACATCCTGGACAATCTTCCCTCCATCTGTTTCTGAATGCACAGAATAGCTTATGAAGTTGTTCCTGTCTGTGTCCTTACAGAGTTCAGCTAAGGACGTGCTGCTAGTCTGAACCCTCAGTTACTCTTTACTCTTCATTTATAGAATTTTAAATAAGATCCTTAACACTTACATTAGCACAGATAAAATTGTGCAGAAGTTTTCATGACATGCCAGCTCATCAGTTGATATAATGTGACACCACTGGGCTAAAGTCAGTGAACCGAGGCTGATTTAGACCAGCTGAGGATTTGGCCTTAAGATCTGTACTGAAGGTTCTTGCCTTCTATCTACATGGTGACCTGTGACATGATCTTGGTGGTCTTTGTCCCGTTCTTGGGAGATAAGTGCACACATCACAAAAACCCACCCCACAAGGGACACTCCTCTGTAGCCTTGACAGTAGCCTCAGCAGAGACAAAGGGACCAAATTGTCATGGAGATCATAGAATCACAAAATCATAGACTATTAGAACTGGAAGGGACCTCGAGAGGACATCAAGTCCAGTCCCCTACCTTCACAGCAGGACTAAGCACCATCTGGAGATGAAGTTATTGTTCTCAGTGCAGGTGAACAGGAGAAGTTAGTCTGTCTCTCATCTGTAAAATGGGGATAATGGTGCTTCTCTAACTAGCAGGTATCATGGGGATAGAAACATGAAAGATTGTGAGGCTCTCAGATACTGTGTTTATGAAGGGCATATAAATACCACATATAGATATGTAGGCAGTGCGTGGTGGTAGAAGGTTGCCCTATGGCTGCTTCCTGTGTACCTGTTCTGTGACTAAATAGAGGAATTAACTCTTCAAATTGGCTGTTGCGGTGCTTCGCAAACACCAACACCTGCCATAACATATAAACTAATTAAAATAAGCTCCAGGCACAGAATGGGACCTCTGAGAAGTTGTGAAACCTCCTATCACACCGTTGTGGTTTTTCTGGCTTCTGAGATTGGATGGAATGTGATAGAACGATCCTGTGTCCCTTTCTATCCCACAGATTGATGAACTCCCCGAGGGAGCTGTGAAGCCTCCAGCAAATAAGTACCCTATCTTCTTTTTTGGGACTCATGAAACGTAAGTGAATGAACCTGGTAGTTTCTTTTGAATTGTGTGGCTGAATCTCCTTTTACTCAAATTATTCTTATTCCTGTGTCTCTCAGAGTAGGTCTCGACAGAAACCAGTGTGACATTAGAGCTAGATACTATGAGCCTGAATCTGACTCTGGGAGTGTAAAGAAGCCTTAACATGAGTGTAATTGTGAATACCACTGTTTAGTACCAAAATGGTGCACTGGGGCTAGTGTGTCAATGGTATATAGGCCCCATGTTTCTTCCATGTACATATTTTGAAATGACAATGTAAATGGATCACCAGGAGCAAGATCTATGAGAAAAGTGCATTGTACTTGAAATAACCATAATGAATGTATTATATTCAAGCACCTTTTGGGGCCCAGTCTGATCCCATTGACTTCACAGGGGTCAGAATTTGTTCCTTCAGTAATCAAGAGGGGTTTAGAAAGTGTCTGTTTTTCAATTGAAACTTGAGTGCATCTAATTTGTACATTGGGGGAGTAACTGACTCAAAGCCAGTGAAAAAGCAAAGATTTTCTGGTGATCATGGACCAGATTTAAAAAAAATATTTAAGTGCCTTATGACATTTTCAAAAGCCTGTCAGAACCTAAAACCCATTCAAAGTAATGGGAACGTAGGAACCAAGATGCATTTGAAAATCCTATGAGCTACCAAAATACTTTTTTTTAATCTGGTCCTGTAAACTCGTATTTATACATAAACATAGAATAGGACAGAGTGAGAAGATTGGGGGTAGGCAAATGGAAGAAGAGCCAAGATGAATCAGGAGTTTCACATTATTTCCACTTAGCATTTAAAATAAATATTCTTCTGTGTTCTGCAGTGGTGCATTTGAAAATCCTATGAGCTACCAAAATACTTTTTTTTAATCTGGTCCTGTAAACTCGTATTTATACATAAACATAGAATAGGACAGAGTGAGAAGATTGGGGGTAGGCAAATGGAAGAAGAGCCAAGATGAATCAGGAGTTTCACATTATTTCCACTTAGCATTTAAAATAAATATTCTTCTGTGTTCTGCAGTGG